AGTGAAATTTTTTTTAAGACTTTAAAAAAAGCGTGCCCTCAGTTCTTGTGGATCAGGTGGTAGAGCGGGTTGTCCACTAATCGTAGGGTTGGCGGTTCGATTCACGGCCCACGTGACTCCACATGCTGACGTGTCCTTGGGCAAGACACTGAACCCCAAGTTGCTCCCGATTGCAAGTTAGCGCCTTGCATGCAGCTCTGATACCACTGGTGTGAATGGGTGAATGAGACACAGTGTAAAACACTTTGGTTAAAAGCAGTATATAAGTGCGCAATTTGCCAGGAGCCTGGATGAGCAGTTGTGTTACAAATTTCCTTTAGCACATGAAGGTTCATTTCGAGTCAATGGTCCTTCCTCCTGGTTGAGCTATCAGTAGATGCAGCTAATATGGCATCTTCAGGAGCTGAGTGTTAATAACATGTCAGAGAAGCTGCTTGACTGTTCCTTAAAAACAGGTAAAGGATGACCAATATCATCGATTTATGAATAAAATAAAAGATGAAATATGGAAATACGAGTTATGATGTATGTCACTGAATGAAGCTCAATTTATTCATTAATATTCCTCCAAACAGAATTGTTCATTTAAAACACTAGCTCCTATAATCATTAAGAACAGATTCTAGTTAATGTAGCTAGTCACAGTACATGTTCAGACATATGTCCATGGTGATGTCTTCCAGAATCACGACAGAAAATGAAAACACACAGTCTCCAACTCACCAACAGGGGGAGCGATCCTCACACGATGGCGTCCCTGTCCCAAACATCCAACACTGTGTGACCTGAACTAGCTCATTCAAGTCATCTCCAAATGAATCCATTCCTCTTTCATTGCGTAAGAGTATCACCTCTCTGAAAATCCATACCAGGTTCTGCTTGTTACCCTGCAGTGACAGACACTTTGCTCTCGTCAAGCTTGTTCCAGAGCCCGAGCTACTCGAGTCTGACCCTTGCGCTTATTACAGTGAAAGTTTGTTTTTGTGTTGAATTATGTTTCTAAAAGTTGTGGAATGGATTAATTTGGAGACTGTCCAACTCAGGAATCCTCAGAGACAGGAAGGCAATGCAAAATAGAATGTGAGATTAGTGACAGACACCAATGTTTTGGACAGCCAGAGAGCATGTGGCTATGGGGCAGGGCCGCCAATACACACACGGCTGTGGGGTAATCATAACCACAGCAATTTTCCACCGTCCAGCAGGCGACGGGAGAGTAGAAAAGGGCGATCCTCCCCGTGCAAAGGGAGAGAGGCGTGCACGTTAATCTATCTTGTGTTTCTTGCAGAGAACTCGGAGGAAATTGAGGATTTCGTCCCCTGGGACTCCCTCTCAGAGTTTCCAGCCTGCCCTAGTCTGCCTGGCTCCTGCCTCCCGGGATGGAAAATGGTGGAAAGGGAGTGAAGACTGTGATGAAAGGAGATCACAGGTGGAGACAGTGAAGGGGTGAGGTGAGAGAAATAGAAAACTGGATAAAGAAATGGTCAAAGTGAGTTGCTGGGGTGGGGAACTGCTTGAAGTTAAAAGTGGGCAGGAAGTCAATAAAATTAGCTGCATGTGACATGTCTAGGTGAATGTTGAAGACACTAAATAACATGTGCCCTATTCATTTGTCTGAATGTGACTCCCAGTAACATTCACATTAGCACACAAAATTTGTCTTCAATATTTATCATATTAATCTATAAAATAAATAAATAAATAAATAATAATAATAATAATAATAATAATAATGAAACAAAAGTGAAGATTGTAAGTTTCTGTCACAACCCCATTTGTAAATCAAGTGACTGCATGTGGGGTCCTGACCCCTACTTTGGGAACCCTTGAGATAGTGTGTGTCTATGGCAATAATTTGCAGTGGGTGAGCTGACTTACTGTAAGAGTTAGCACATGGCACATATAGGAGGCGCTCTTTCAGTGTATACTCATCATCAAGTATTGTGACCATGGCGAAATATAAAATAGCTGTGCTGTGAATGCACTTGGTAATTTAAGGCTGATTGGCGTTTATCAAAAAAATAAATAAAAATAAAGTATAAATAAGCAAAACTTTTGTCAATCTTGTGGAAAATTTTAATTTCTGAAGCATAAACAAGGCCCATAATAATAATAATAATAATAATAATAATAATAATAATAATAATAATAATGTTTGACTTATCTTTATTTTCCTGGACAATCTAATAACAAATTTCATGAAAATATCTTATCCATTCTAATCTTTAAGTTTACGATCATAAAACCTTTAATTTTGCTATTTTTCTGACACTTTAAATAAGTTTGAATTATTGAAATTATGAAATCTGTGACTCACTGCTTTAATTTGTAGACCAGAAATCCAATAACACCAACACACAGAAGAACCACAGAGAGAGAGGGAACCAGATAAAGTACAGCAGTGTGTCTGCATTCTGGGAAAAACAACAACAAAAGTTCAACATATAACAATAAATCACACTGATATTGAACACTCATCAGATTAATCACACTGTAGCTGCGCTCACCTGAACTGATGGAATTAAACAGGAGTGACACCGTTGTTAATGCCAACACAATGCACAGTGGGCGTTCTATAAATGACTCGGATGACAGCAGTTCAGTGTTTTGGCTTTGTTGGCCTGGACATAGAGGTTTTTCAGTCTCCAGTGACATGCTGCGTGACAATTGCGCTATACAGCTTGGTCAAGCGACTTGTAAGCATGTGTCATGAGCTCAAGCGCTGCACAGCAGAGCACTAATGGAGACCCTGCTAGGAGATTTTTGCTGAGAGATGCCAAGGGTAATTTTGCTTGGTGTTGATACAGGAAAACAGTGAGCTACCCACTCCAACCCGTCCTGAGAATTAATCTTATGATTATGGGATTATGAGGACAATCACCACTCAAAAACACTTCAAAGCTCAACCACGCTGCAGGAAGTAAGCTCCCTTTTGGACAAAGGGGGTCCTGAAACATGTACACCGTTGCCTCAGGGAGGGAGGTTTACAGCCTTTATTTCCTGTTCCGCAAAAAAGTGGGAATATGCAAACAATTTTAGATCTGCATCATCTGAACCGTACTCTTCGGACATACAGGTTCAGAGGCTGATGTTCAAACTTATCATGCCACAGATCCAGTTTGAGAACTGGTTTGTGGCGATAGATCTAAAAGGTGCGTGTTTCCGCATAGGAATATTGCTAACTTTATCCCCTCGCACCTTCACAAAGTGCATGGATGTCACTCTGGCTCCATTGGGACTCCAGGGCATCTGTGTACTAAACTACCTGGATGACTGGTTAATTCTAGCACGATGCAGGAGCTGGCGGTTCAACATTGAGATGTTGTTCTCGCCCACGTGAAGAGCTTGGGGCTCAGGTTGAATCTCAGAAAAGTTGGCTTTCCCCGGTGCAGTGGACAACTTTTCTAGGGGTTATAGGACTCTACTATGATGAGGGCGTTTCTATCCCCAACAGGCGTAGTGTCAATCAACACTGAGCTAGATAAAGCTGTATCTTGGGAGCCTAGGGTCCACACATGTGGCTGAGGTCACATCTGTATGCTGCTCCCCCCATCGCTGCTCCCACTAGCTCTAGCGAGGGGTTCGCCAGATAGTCTGCTAGTAGCACCCTTTTGGCAGCTCGAACATGGTTCTGAGAGATAATATCTCTGCGAGATGGCACTCCTTGGGAGATTCTTATCCGCAGGGATCCACTGTAGACCCAGTAACTGCGCAATAGGTACAGTCCTGGAGGCCCTACAATAACATCTCTTAGCGGGGTGAGCTCCTTCTACAATCAGGGTTATGTGGCCGCCATTTCGGCCAGCCACGCCCTGTTGAGGAAGCCTCTGTGGGGCAACATCCTCTAACTTCGAGGTTCATGCGTGGTCTCAGACGGCTGAGGCCCATCTGCAGGCCATGCATACCTTCCTGGGACATTGAAGAAAAAGTGGTTTTGGAAGGTCTGTCAGGGACCCCATTTGAGCCCTTAGAGTCAGCCTCTGAGAAGCTTCTGACTCTAAAGGTAGCTCTTTTACAGGCCCTGACATCTCTCAAGCGAGTGGGAGGTCTACAAGCTCTCCCTGTTGCCCCTCCTGCCTTGACTTTACCCCTAGATAAGCCAAGTCCTTAATGTATCCTAGGCCGGATTATATTCCTAAAGTACCTACATTGGCTGCCCACTCTGTGGTGTTGCAGGCTTTCTCCCCTCCACTGTCCTCTGACCAGAACAAGAGAGGATGCACCCGCTGTGTCCAGTAAGCGCTCTCTGTACTTACGTCCACCGCTCCGGCCAGTGGCGTAAGTCAGAGCAGCTACTAGTCTGCTTTGGCAGCGACAGGAAAAGTGATGCTGTGTCAAGCAGTGCATCTCTACTTGGATTGTTGAAGGCTTTGTCCAAAGGGGTATCCTTGCAGGATGTGTGTGCGGCTGCAGGGTGGTCTATGCCTCACACGGTCATTTATTATTACAGCCTGGATATTCATTCCTCCCCAGGCTTGTGTCCTGCAGTGACCATCAGGTTTGGGAATTTTTGAACAGGCCGTACCCTCGGTATGACGGAGTGGGTTTTCCCATTCCCATACTGCTAAATGCAACGTCGAAGTTCCCTTTGAAAGGGAACGTCGGGGTTACGCATGTAACCCTGTTCCCTGAGAAGGGAACGAGATGTTGCATAGTGTTTTCATACCGGGGCTGGCCTGTGAATTGCCTCTTCGCTTCAGATAATAGAGGCTGGCGGCGTGGTTTGCCACGCACATTACTACGTCACCTGATCATGGCAGGCCTATAAGTAGAGGCATGATTTTACACAAGCTTCAGATACCCGGTCACACGCACAATGTTCCCCTTACCCGCAATGCAACGTCTGCTTCCCTTCTCAGGGAACAGGTTACATGCGTAACCCCGACGTTTTTTCTTATTAACTTCAAGAGAAAGAAAAGGAGAGGCTGGTGAGGGAGCGACTGTTCAAAGCTGCTATAAAATAAGTAAGAACAGGATCTAACTTGTTTCACCGACACTCC